CTTTATTCCGGTTCTATCCCTCAACGGATTCCCGATGCGAACCTCGTGTCATCGTAGTTCACGAAGGTACTAGGAACGTAGCCAATTTCCTCCAGCTCATGCTGAATACCTGAGTGCTTCTTTCCCGTTTCTCTTTGTTTCTCGTTCTAGCGCCGAAGCCGCTCGCCTCCGCTCTTTATCCTGTTCCAGTCGTTGTCCGATTTGAACGATTCCCTCAGTGTCATCGGGATAAGATCTTAGCATTTAAAACAAACGTTGGTTCTCGCGTTCCCTCTAATTTGCATCGAGGAAGGACTTCGCATACTTGATTGAAGCGGGAAGGAATACATCCGATTCTCCTTTTAAGACTTCGAATTTACCGTGCTTTTATTATGCTCTCTTCTTATACGTATTTATATCATTTTCCCGAAACGTTTATAACGATTCGTGTATAAAACGATTTATGACGTGCCACGAAACTTGGCGCGCGATATGAATAATGCTTAACACTGGAACTACCACATGGGTCAAAATGACTTATTCCTGATTTCTTCTTTTACGATTATTGAAAACGTACTGATCCGCGAAAAATGATTAACGAAACTAATTCGATAATAGCAAAGCCGAGGTACAAGTTAATTGAAATCTTAATAAACGTACACTTATGGTTATTAAAAAGAAGTTTGTAAAAATCCGTTTAAGTGATCGGTTGTAGCGTTAACACGTAAGGCTATGGATTTTTCAATCCGATAATTTTGTCGATAGACAAATAAATTCCACTAAGAAGTTAATTTTTGTATAATCAATTTCAACGTGAAGTATACTGTAAGCGTAACACGAACGTTTCACTGGTTTCAAAATTCACGGTGTCTTATATTGTCGCAAAAGCTAAGTTACAACTGTTTCGTCGAATATAATCGTAATAACACAAAACTAAACATTCATGGACATTATATTGATCAGTAAATGTTAACACTAGAACTACGGTACCGGTCGAAATAACTGGTTTCTTTCTGTCGCAATGATTATTACCTTCAAAGCATTGAATATTCGAAATGATCTTAAAAATAAATAGTTTCACTTGAACGCCATAATTGCCATTTCTCCATGACGAGTATACTCGTGGAAAAACAGTTGACTGGTTAAAGGTGAACTCAATGCTGCCTCTTAAATTGCTTTCAACCTCAATGTGTCTATTCTCTTCCTTCGAAGCCTGGGTAATTCTATAGCGAGAGAACCGTTTGTTCATCCCCAATTTACTCTGCATCGTGCTATCATTTACGGGAACACTGCACCCTGTTTTTACCATTGGCCGTGTCAACGTATTTCATCGAGAATACCACGCGCGTCCCGTCGGGCAAAAACGGGACAGGAACTTGACCGAGTATTTTCTACGACAAAGACCTCGAGGCGAATCACCGGCGGAGAACGTCGTTGAACGCGAACGATAAATTAAATCGTATCAATGCTCCTGTAAGCAGTCCCGCAAATATTGTTAACGAAGTTGACAGAGCAAACGAATGATTCCGGATAAGCAAACACGGAGCAGGGTATCGAGCGAGAAGGAAGTGAATACTGAGCGGAAAAGAAACTCAAATGTGATACATCATACTGCCCATGGAGCAAACAGCGATTTTCATAAGGCAGTGTGACAAACGGAAGGGTTTTTGATTATCGTAGGGTCACGGTCAGGGATCGAAGAGGTTTTCGAAATGACTTCGAAACTGTTATGCATGTTAGATCTAGCGGAAAATTCTGCTCGATAATGTCATCTCAAGTTTCCAGAGATGAGTCATTTTATAGGAATGGAATCCATGGATTATCAGCATGACGGTTAGTCATTAGTAACGATGGAAATTATATTTATCAGTATATATTAACTCTAGACATTTCTTTGTTTCGCGATCATTGACATCTTCGTAGCATTGAATGTTTAAAATGCTCTTGAAAATAGATAGGTTCACTTATACTATAATGAATGTCTGAAGAAATTGAAAATAATCTGTTGTTACAGTTTTTATAGGGATTACATATTAACTGCATTGAATACTCGGTAGTTCTAATGTTAATGAACGTATTGAAAATGTATTGTTTTCTTTCCAGTCAAAAATGATCAGAACTTCTCGGTAGACTTTATACATCGGTTACGATTGAAACAGTTATGGAGAACGGAAATAAAATTGTAACTATTATTCGGTATATTGGTTCTGAGCGATATCGATTTTTGTTTGTGTATTTTGGTCCTACATTTAATTCAAAACCGGAGCGTGACAGTTATAGAACCAATATAATATCGACTTTGAAAAACCAGAACCAAAACCGACATAAGTGCTGCAACTACGGCAGGATCGGCAAAAAACCTGTCTAAAACTATTCCAAGAGATATAATGCTTGAAGCTTTTTGTGTTGTCGTGTTATATCTTATTAACAGTATTGGTATATAGTCGCAATCGATTGGTTCAGTCGTTGTATTGTAAAAATGGAGAGTTTCCGTAGCTCGGACGCGATATACCAAATAACGGTTATAACATTATTTCGGTTCTTCAGAACTGTTTCAAGAACCAGGATCGATATCATAACTGTTTTGAATCTCTGGTCACGATCCAGGAACGAAATAATATTGGCGAATAGAGGCTTCGGGGTATAAGCTGTGTCCCGTAGGAAATTTAATGTGACTGCAATGATGGCGAAACGTAGGGATAAACCTGCAGGACACAGTTTACAGTCCGAGAGACCATTCACCATAACATTTCAGGTCGAAAGCATAGAATCTATAATTGGGAATAATATTATTTATGTGGGAATGGATGTATTTGAGAGTGTGAATAGATATATTGATGAGTGATGAATGTGTGTACAGTAGATGAATGACGCGACTGTCTGTGAGCGCGTTTCGAATGAATGTTCAAAGCATTGGAATATTCTAGACTAAATTGATTTTCTCTATATTGATTTTTATGTTAATAATGTTCGTTTTTTATGAATCTAGAATATTCCAAATATACGTGAAGTTTATGGTAATGAAAGAATGTTCTAGAAAGTGTGCGAGGAGACAAGAGCGTCTGAGTGTATAAATAGTGTGTGAGTTGTTTGATTTGTCGATAGTTTTATTGTGAGTTGTCATGAAATAATTTTACTGTTTCAAATAAAGTTCTCTTTCTCCCACATTTATGATCATTAACTCCTTGCCCTACAACCACGAGTGTCTCGTGGTGAACATTTTCAACCTGATTCAACAAATATATATATTACTCAGTTCATTTGAATGCAAAGTAAATATTATTCCTCTGTAATCAACTATTATACTTAAAAGGAAATATGGGCATAACATATTTAGAATTTTTCTCTTTCTCCAATAAATTATTAATGACAAAATGACCGTATCGATCAGAGTTGAGAAAGAAACCATAGGGCAAGGGGTTAAGTCTTCAAGTATTTAACACGTTCGCTACCAGTGTCACACATTTGTGACGGCTGTAATCCTATATTTTATATAAAGAAAATGAAATTAATCCTATAGATGTAGTTGGTTAAAGTTATAAGCTACGAAATTACATTTAGGGATTCAATGACTCGTTTTAGCCTCATTTGTTTCAATAGTTTGTTTAGAAGATTTATTGGATTGAATAAAATATTATAATTGAGAGGATCGCCACTGAAACAAACGCTGGTAGCGTACGTGTTAAAGTACACAAGCAACGAATTGGATTAATGGAAAACTAGAATTGTTGATACTTTGTTTCGATTGAATATCCAAATTGGTTTCACTATTTTTGGAAGTGCCATGGTTAAATGATTCAGAAACGTGTAAGCTGAGGCACAATACTCGATTAATAGAATTTTTAGTTTCGCCTCCTTATCTATACATTAAATGATTTTTAACTAATATCTCAAGATATACATGATTGAATTTTTCTAACATGCTTCGACGAACTTTTTCTCGAATCTACACGTATCTGGATCGTCAATACAATTAACTTCTCACTTTGATTGTTTATAAAGTGTTTATTAAATACCGTACAATTTGTTTTGAATGTTTATAACCAATTGTGGGTTTTAAATAAAATTCAGTGTTTTACCAGCTAACAGAGTAAGGTAACATTGTTTCGCAACAGCCTGTCTTTCAGTCTATTTCTATCAGAAAAGAAATATACTACCACTATTTTATTTGGAATAATGTCATCACTGATGTATTGTATAGCAGTCCATTGTTGTCAGATAATTTATTGTATTTCACAGAAACAAAGATCTTCTTCTACAGTACTATCAGTATGAAACACCTTGCAGCAATTCTTGCGCAATTCCTTTCGACAGAGATTTAAAATTTAAATCGTTTTGAAATGTATGACTCTATACAATATTATTAACCCCTTGCCCTATGATTTCTGTCTGACCTGTGATCGACCTAGCTACCTTGTTATTAACAATTCATTGAAAATAAAAGGGAATTCCAGTCTTATTCTACGTCAACGTCCACATTCACACAAATTGAATAATATTTATATTGGGTAAATTCTACTCGAAATCTTCATCACGAGTCTAACACAATATTATATGACAAGGGATAATAAACAATTAATGTACATATCCGTGTAAAATAGATAAAAACGAAATTCTTCGCACAAGACTTTGCCAAATCTCTGAATTCGTTTCTAGCGTAAGAGGTTAATCTCATATACTTATAATCATCACCTCGACACGTGATTAAAAAGATCGAAAAATACATATACGCGCCCACAGCATTCAGAGGTAAAAATTCTCTAAACATATACCTAAAATCAGATCTACTCTCAGACACTTTCCATTAAAGCACGAGAATGATCGTGACAATATTTGCATTATTCATGTAGCTGGTGAGGTATAAACGTAGATAATAATTTTGATTGACTAGATCGCGTTGGTTGAATGGACAGTTAGGTCCTCTGGCCTCTAAGAACGTTTTAGCCTCTAGCCACAGAGGATTAATTTTACGACAAGGACACCTTCATAAAAGTAAGTTACCCGGGAGATACAGTACTCACCGTTGATGTGCAGATTCACATGAATATGTTTAGGCGGATGGGTGCTGACTTGGCACTCGTACTGACCCTCGTCGCTACTATTCACTGGTTTAATTTCCAGACGCCAGTTATCTGGATACTGGAACTTTACTGTATACCTTGGGTCTCCTATATACGTTTGTTGCCCCACCGTCAGCAGATTTACCTTCTCCCCATTATCTTGTCTGCGTACCCAGGACACCTGTCAACAAATAGGTTGTATCACAATTACCTGTTTAAATTAGTATTACCATTAAATTGTTATGATTCAGAATGAAATATGAAAATGTCGTTTCTAGACAAATGCTAGTAATATCTGGCTAGACGAATGATATCAACCCTTTGTGCTCGAGAGGTGACTCTAGTCGCCATTTCACTTGATAAAGTTATAAAGTTGGGTGTTTAACATTAAGTATTGCGTAATGCATCGATGTGTTAAATATTGAATGAAATATCTTCGTTTCTCAGTGTATGCGTTGTTTCTCGGTAAGTTAGTTTAAAAAATGTTGTGTATATCTCATCAGAAAACGTTGAAGATTTCTAGTGAAGAACTTTCGAGTGCAAAGGGTTAACATTACAGACTACCAGACAGGTTAAACTGTCCCATTCCTGATTTCTTCTTTTTACAATTATTCAAAACAGATGTTTTTCTGAGAATTTATTAAAGAAATTGATTCAGGGATACTCGAATTCAATCGTAAATCAATTAACCCCATCGGTGCCGCCATTATGGCGGCATCTGCAGTTTGTCCTCGAAGTCGGTGTCGCATTAATTGTAGCATTAACGTTAACGTGAAAAATAATCTGTATTTTTATATATTCTAAATTAGCTATAGAAAACTAATTTAAAAAATATAAATTTGCCTCGACAGTGGGAACTGGTACCAGAAAAATATGACGATCGAGGGTTAAAGTCTCGATAGATGCAATCTCGGAGTATCCATAGAGGAATTTCGAAAAGTCAATGTAATAAGTCAATGTAAAAGTCAAAAGTTAATAAAAACTACAAGTTTGTGGGTTCAGTAGACACGTGTCAAAATCATCCTTGAGAAATTGTTACCTCTAATTTCTAGGATCGATTGATCCATCAGCTTTATCAAGATTATTAAAGAAAGAGTATCTGAATGCTTGGAATAAATACAACATTTTGATCCGTTTATTTTTTTGTTGATAACCGAGGTAATTTGCAATCGATTATCTTTGATCGGATTATAAGCGAATGCTGTGGCAGTGATTATTCGCTTACTTGATATTAATTTTAAATTAATGGACAGCTGTCGAAATGAAACGCATGCTACGCTTTTGTTTTGCTAATTAAACGCACATGTGGGATTTAATCTTGAAACGCGAGCGTGGTGGAATCGCACGGTATTCGTAGCAGGTTGCCTTTAAATTGCATGACGCAATTGTGAACGTGGATGGGGTTAATTTCTGAGTGCGTGTGTAAGGATGGGTAGCCTGTGTACGGTGTGTTTCAATGACATGCACTATTACTAGGATACATGTCTCATCGAATGTAACAGTTTTCTCAGCTGCTACATTGCAGCGCCAATCATCTTCACAGGCATTGTAAATAACTATGCAATTTTTTAAAAATGTTTTAATTGTGTATCAACTGTATTTACGTATAGGAAATATATAATACGTATAGAAATATACGTATAGGAAAAATTCGTTGAAAATATTGATGTGTATGCTATATTTAACACTAGAACTACCGAGCAGTTAAATTATCTTTCTGGAATTTCTCTGGAGAAACTAAATAGTGCAACTATTGTGACTTCAGTTGATTGCAATGTAGTTTGCGTGCCGCTAAATCAATGTCTTTAGTGATTTCTTAGAGAAGCATCTGTTAACTTTTGAATAATTGGAAAAAAATCATGAATAGGTGGTTTTGATCCATTCGGTAGTTCTAGTGTTAAAAATCATCGAAATCAGGGAGATAGTAGTTTACCTACAAGTCGACTTGTCACAATGTTACTACTATAATAAGGTTTTAACGCTTTTGTAAGTGACCGTGTGGCAAATACCAGCCATTTTCAAGGCTACACAATCAAATCAGTTTCGGTGACGTAAAAAATGAAAAAAAAAAATAGTTAAACTGCCGTAATTTCCCTAGTGCCAAACGAGCACTTCAATACCGTTTGTTTTCATTTGCACGGTTTTGTTTTCCAATTCTCTCAACGGTAAACCCCCCATTTGTCAACACGTAGTGTATGCTACAAGCCCACAACATTCGCTTTAGGTTTGTAAAAACTTCACTTGCAATATGCTTTTAAAAAGTAACGTTTATAAAACGATAGGTAAGTCACGCAATCTGCGTTCCATGTATTTACTTTTGCGCAACTATTTGTTAGATTTAAAAGACAGACACATGTATATAATTCGAAGTATATCCAGCTGGCGTGTGTTTAATCTAAAGTATAACAATTGATAACAGAAGAATATTACTTAATTTCAAAAGAATCGAGTAAAATCTATATTTGCTTAATTCTGTTCGAAATCATCGCCATCAGTCTTATGTATACTACGTTATGCGAAATTATTAGAACACTATTTCAAGAATTGATATCGAATTAAAATGTTTAGTAACACGTGTACCTAAATAATAGTAAGAACTATGATATCAAACAATTAATAACTGATTCTAATACCATTTGCCTTTGTTATGATACGATAATGTTGTACGAAACGTTTTGAATTTTCATGGTCAACGTGTTAACCCTTTGCACTCGAGAGGTGACTCTCAGTCATCGCTTGATTTGATACAGCAAAACTATGAAGTTGAATATTTAGTATTTTAAATGAAACTTTGTATTACTGTGTGAAACATTTAAATAGCTTTGTTGCTTAATTTATCTGTGAATTATCGTTAAATTAGTTTCAAACAATGTCGTCTATATCTCGTCGGAAAATGTTGAATATTTCCAGTGAAAATCTTTCGAGTGCAAAGGGTTAATAGGCTTTCGGTAAATAAAGTGTCAATTAAGAAACCGGCGAATTTATCAATGTGCTTAACCCGCTCCGATTTTAATGACTTTCAAATATATTGTCAGGGACGTGATGAACTTCTACTTTTATATATTGTCAACGGAAGCTTTTGTAAACATGCGTCAGTGTAGTAGTAACAAAAGTTGTTCATGACTATCTCGGAAATTAAAGCCTTCTGTCGACAGCATACGACGGAAAAAGTTGTTCAAAATCATATCGCCAACAACATATCTGAAAACCATCAAAATCGAAGCGGGTTAAGCACATCGGCAACTTGACCGAGAAATCCTGTAGGCAGGGAATGAGCAGCTAAGTATATGACAGCAGGGCTTCACTTTTTTCCCAATGATTTCGTATCCGTAGGGATTTGCCGATTAAGAAGAGGGTATCTCGAGAGACCAAACCCATTTCACGCAGTAGCAACTTATATACTAACATTCCGAAAGCGAAATGCACGAGCGAGGATAAGTTGATGCGTGCATTCGTTCAGCTGTATCGTTAAGGATCTCGCGAGTCACTGAACAATATGTATAGCTATAAATCGCGACCCCTGGAGTCACGCTTGACAATCGCTGCAACCCGTTCTCGGAATGAATTCCTTAATTAGGTCGATTAACCTTATAAGTAGCTCATTTTGCAAGTACCATTCAATTTCCAGCATTTAACCTTTGGCATGCACGCGAATTTAACCTTTAAGTATGGAAGTCTGAAAATTACCGATTCATGTTAAATACTCTCGTCGCAGCAGCTACTAGATAAATTTACTGTTTTCATTTGTGTTTACTTATTTAAAAATCTTTACCTAGTAATAGTATCGATTATATGACGAAAGTTTCACTGGTTTCAAAAGTGAGGGATAAGAAAACATCGGCTGACAATTTTGCTGGATTTTCCTTTTCTGATTTGAGTTTCGTAACGCGACCAGTTCGTAGTGTGTAGTGCTAACTTTGTAGATTCATTATACAACACGTAAATAATAATCATTGATGATTATGATAGCTATATCTGGGAGACTACAGAAATTGACAAACTCATATACGTGTCCATGGTACTCAAACGGTTAATATTTGTGAAACACCTGTAACGAAATGTAGACCTCTGAAAAATTTTGATATATCTCATCAATTTTTGATTTGTTTAAATATCATATTAGAACATGAAGTGTTAAAATATTCTTTTATATAAACTATTCTAACACTAGAACTACCGTACCAGTTAAAATGACTGGTTTCGATTTCTTTGTTCAGCAATTATTGATATCTTCGAAACATTGAATATTCGAAATGATTTTGAAAATAAATAGTATCATTTCAGTACTATAATGAATGTCGGAAGAAACTGAAAATAATCTATTGTTAGAATTTTTATGGGAATTGCATATTAATCGTATTAAATGCTCGGTAGTTCTAGTGCTAAAGAACTCATGTATATAAACAAATATTAATATTATAATAATTATAATATTTTATCTATAATATATAATTTTTTATCGTTTCTTCACATCATGCGATATTTTTTGCTTTTCGGCACGTTATTGGTGGTAACTCGTGTACTCTAGATTGAGAACCACTGACCCACAATTATTCGTGTAGGGCCGGGTTTATTATGTCAACCATTCATGACATAGTTCGTGCAAAATGAATCATCAAACACCATTTGCTCTCCAATTTGAAACAGTCGCCCGATATTAATTTGGCAGCTGGCAGTCAGAGTAAACGCGTCCCAGGACGGGTCAATCTTGTGCTTTACAACTTCAAGAGGATTTACATTGAAAATCCGTGCACTTACTTGTAACGCGCATACACGGCATATTATAATTGCCTATAATTCGCGTAGATAAAGAGTGGGCACATGTAACATTTGTATTTCAATTATACGTTTCTCTAGACGAATATATTTTAACACTAGAGCTACCGATCACTTGAACCGTCCTTTGAACATTCCTTTATGAAAGCTATAAGCGTGAATTTATTAAGATTTCAGTCGGCTTATATTTCAGTTTAAGTATTGCTAAATAAGCTTCTTTAATCGTTTCTTAAAGAAGCATCTGTACCTTTGCAGTAATGCTAAAAGAAGAAATTAGAAAACGGTAGTTCCAGTGTTAAACAATTTTTAAAACGATTTTTCACATTTTTTATATTTGATACTACGGTGAATGATTTCTAATAATCGAATTCTACTTATATTTAGGGACAATTAATTGAAATACAT